CACACACACATGCGACGGGAAGAGGAGAGGCTTCGTAACCACATCTACGTAACCCTAACGATATATGCACGGGCTAACCTCAAGATGTCTCGCGGCGCTTTCGGCGGGGTTTGTTTTTACATGAGGCGGCAGCAGTATTTAGTGCAACTTCCGACAAAAACCTTCCATCATTTCAAAAATGGACTGGCTGTCCTGGTATGTACGAGGAGCCCGCGCTACAAATGTATGCGACTGCCTCCCGCTCGTGTGCGTCCTATATATCGTCTCTACACCTCTACACGGCGGAAGACCTTCAACCCCACTGCCCAGGTTAGAAGAGCTTGCAGATGCTCGGGTAAGCGAACGCCGGCAGTTGCGGCATCGGCTGTGTATATGTACAGCCGCCAAACCGATCTCGCATTTTGAAATTACAAAAACAACACTCTCCGTGCGCTTAGTTCTGCGGGGATGGACTACAGCCAGCTTGTTCGCCTTTTTCGACGAAGTTCTTGACACACGTGGTGACACGCGTGGTGACGTACGAGAGAGTGGTGCCAAACCCTCGCTCACCTCGGCCCGACGTTCTGCCCAGCTGGGCTGCGTTGAGACCCTTGGGGATCCTGAAGTTACAGACGTCGCGAAAGAACAAAATTGTCCCAGGCGCCGCCGTCGTTCTCATGCATTCAGCAGCATGCCTCCACTGCTGGGCTTCCTGCATCTCGCCCTTCTCCCTCACAGATTGGTTGGAGTAGTAGAGGGCCGGATTCTGGAGCAAGACCAGCTGCTGGTGTGCCCACGGCTCACCGCTGTGGCAAGGGCGCGAGAGAGACCGATCCCACGCCCACTCGAGATCCTTGGAATTATCTGTCGCCCAGTCGAGAGCTCGCAGGTGCTCAGATCAGGGGGCGCATTCGCCGCAGGTGGTGCTGCCATGCTTTCGGTACGCCCTCGGCACGATGATGGACCACAAGATACGATGGTAGCGCGCCCTTTTTCAAACTTGCCAGCTCCGTGCCTCGAAACTCGACACCACCCCCCCACGCAACTACTCACCGCGTAGCAGATTTTCTAATTGTCCCATAACTTAGGATGCTGCCGGAATTCCGAATTGGAATTCCCCGCTGGAATCCGCTTTTTCCAAGCTCGCAAATTTCCACATTGGAATTTACCATAACAATTGGCCTTACGCACGTAAAGACACACACATCACGACGCAGTGTTGTCGGCCTCCTTCTCCTCTCCTCCCTGCGCCATGGCGCGCTTCTCTTCCACTTCTTGAATGCCCTTTTCGCTCTCCTCGTGGAGAAGGTTCGGCATTCCGGTGAAGCCGCCAACGCCTTTCCCGCCGCGGCGTCCTTTTCCGCTTGTGTCCCTCCCCCCCCCGTGGCCTCCACGACTACACCACTCATCTATGCTCAGCCCATGGCCCGCAGCTATCGACATGTTGCCGATGCTGCCGATGCTGCCGTTGCTGCTGCGGCGCAACAACTCCAAAACGCCGCCGCCGCCGGGAGAGCTTGTGTGCGACTCAACCTCAAAAACCGCCGCTGACTTCTCTGCTGGGCCAACCTCACCACTAGCAGAGGAGCTCTCCTCCTCTTCCTGCTCCTGCTGCTGCTGCCGCGACTTCCGAATGAACGCTCCCATAGCTCGTGCCAAGCCTACTGCTTGTTGCTGGAAAAGTTTTTTTCTGTTGCGAAGTTGCTGACTTCTCGACAGCACACGCGGCGGATATTTTTTCGCCGTACTTCCTGCATCGCGACCTGCGGACGCCACCGATCACTTCGCAAAACTCAGGATCGACTGACCTCTACCATTGCTGTGTGCGCCGCTGGTATCCTCATCGCACCAGTCCTCGTCGTTACCATCCTCGTCTGCCGCCGCCTTGCCGTTTTCCTGATCCACGTCCATCAAATCGGCGCTGCTGTCGTGGCCGTCGGAGGACGCGTCACCAGCGCCGCGTGACGGAAGATCATGTTGCTGCGCCAATTTGGGTTTCTTCGGAACCACCCGGCCATCGGCTCCGCGCTTGCCGATTTTGTTCTTCTTAGGCCGTGCCATGGTGCTTGCTTACTTGCGTGCGTGTCTCGTGTTGTTCCGGCCGCCACGTGTGCCAGTTTGTTGTGGGAGCGTCTTGCCCAACAGCAATGCTAGACGACCCAACCGGGGTCACATAGGAGGGGGGGGTTGGACCCCCTCCTTCGGTATGGTGTGTGTGGTGGTGTGGTGGTGTGTGGGGGTTGGGGGGGTTGTTTGGATACCCCCCCGGGTGTTTGTTGTTTGAATTTGGGGAAAAAATGAGAGGCAGACACTGCTGTAAGACTGAAACACTTTGTTGTGCCAGCCAAACTCCCAATCAATCAAGAAGACCACCGCTGGAAGAGACAGATAAAATAAATCTGTGAGACTGAAACACTGTGTGCCAGCCAAACAATCCCAGGGTCTGCTCTTACCCACGGTGCTCACCTTTTGTTTCTATATACCCTATNGAGACAGATAAATCTGTGAGACTGAAACACTGTGTGCCAGCCAAACAATCCCAGGGTCTGCTCTTACCCACGGTGCTCACCTTTTGTTTCTATATACCCTATCGCTCAGAACTCACCAATTTGGTCTGAGCCAACACGATGAAACTGGCCAGCCTGCTGTGCGCGACCATCGATTGGAACCACCACCGATTGATTGTAGTTGACTGCGGGACCACCGATTGTGGTTGACTGCCGGTCATGCGAGCTGTGTTCGACCTTACAATAATACAATGTACCATGGCGTGCAGCAATCGCCCAGACTGTGGTGTGCCCGAGCATGACCATGACCAAACGGTCCCGTTGTGTGAAACATGCCTTGGTATGCTATGTCCGCCTGCGCCAAGGGCTGCTGGTGGTCAGCGAGGTCGCTGGTCGGCTGTAAGTAGAATGAAACGTTTTCCCGTTAGATCACCCGATCCGTGGTTCCGTCCACCCCTCTATCTCTGATGTTGCTGTTGCTGAGGGCATGTTGTTTGAGACCGCCACCACACTGGCATGTCGTCAGACAAGTGATCACACACCAGACACGTAGGTTGGGCTTGCGGTGAGGTGGATACCATGTTGGTGCACAGTGGAATGAAAGATCGCCCCGGATCGCGGATGAACGCGGAGGAGGAGGAACATTTACCCGCCGTCGTCGGATCATCATGGATCGTGGATCGTGCCGAACTTCTTTCAAGCGGTGGACATGGACTACTGCTTGGGGCCGTTACAGCACGGCCATGTCTTCAACGCACACCCGCTGGCCAATTGGCCATCATCGTA